CACACTTAATTTGATGCCTGGTTCTGCTGGAGTGGCTACCGGCTTGCAATATTCCATTCTGAATTTTCTTAAAATTTCTTCTGCATACTTCTCTTGTGATATAAATATTCCTTCTTGTATTTGCTTTACTTCAACTCCAAGAAAGTATGGCATTTCTCTAATATCTGTCATTTCAAATTCTTTAGTCATAGCTTTCTTAAAATCATTGAACATACCTGGATTATTTCCTGTGAAAATCATGTTGTCCACATATAAGCACACGATCATGATATCACCGTCTTCATTTTTCTTTGTGTATAAGGCATGCTCGTACAGACTTTTCATGAACCCATTTCTCTGGAAATATTCATCAATTCTCATGTTCCATGCTCTCGGGGCTTGCTTCAGACCATATAGAGCTTTCTTCAATCGATAAACTTTGTCTTCATGTCCCTTTTTAATGTATCCAGGTGGTTGCTCAATATAAACTTTTTCTTCTAGGTAGCCATTTAAAAATGCCGACTTCACATCCATCTGATAAATTTTCCATCCTTTTTGTGTTGCGACTGCTGTGAGAAGTCTGATGGTCTCGATCCTTGCTACTGGAGCAAATACTTCATCATAATCTATTCCTTGTCTTTTCTTATAGCCTTTGACAACTAGCCTCGCTTTGTGTTTCTCGACCTTTCCTTCTTTATTGATCTTTGTCTTGCAAACCCATTTTACTCCAATTGGGTTATGACCTTCTGGTTGTCTTGTTAGCTCCCATGTATTATTTCTTTCTATTGATGCAATTTCTTCATCCATTGCATTCCTCCATTTGTCATCTTCAACCGCTTATTCGTATGTTATTGGATCACTGTTCACAAGTAAGCAGAAAAGTGAAACATTATTTAGTTCATAATCGTTGTACCTTTCTGGCATTCTTCTCTCTCTTGTGGATCTTCGAACTTCTATGGGAGGTGATTCAGGATCTTCTATTATGTTACTGGCATCGCAGCTGCTGCTTGTGGAAGATGGTATATCAGCTTGTTCATCTTGATTGATAAGATCGTCATCTTTAAAAAATAGTCCTTCAACTTTCTTTTCCTCTTTACTCCATCTCCAATAGTTTTCTTCATCGAAATCGACATCTCTTGAAATTATTATCTTCTTTGTAAGAGGATTATATAATCTGTAAGCTTTGCTTCTTTCATCATAGCCAATGAAAATACATTTTTCTCCTCTGTCATCAAGCTTCTTTCTGGTCTGTTTAGGAACGTGGGCATATGCGATGCATCCAAAAATCTTGAGGTGTCCAACTCCAGGTTTCTAACCACTCCATGCTTCGTTTGGCATCATATACTTCACACTTTTTGTTGGACATCTGTTCAATAGGTAAACTGTAACACCCCTAACCCATATCCGACCCGAATATGAGTCTGAGGTGTCACATTGACTTTTCAAACTTTGACACTTAAAGAAAAATAGGGAAATTTTAAACTTTCATTAAAATAAATATGTTAATTTACATAAGAGAGACCACGAAATACAAAATCGATCAGAGCATTCATAATTAACAACTTATTACATGCCAACACTCTATGCATAACCCAAAAACCTACTTTGTCAATTACTTCTGATCTGATCTTTTAGTAGTGATGTTGTTCTTGTCACTACTAGTATTGTTCTTCTTGTTTCTTGGTACCTACATGTAAATCACTTACACGCTAAGTCATAGACTTAATGAGGCAATAAATGAACATGTAACAATAGATTCATGAATATGCATTCTTACCATTTGATCATGACATTTCAATATGCATGTATATATTTCACTATAACATATACAATCATGTCATGCACATATGAAACTTACCTCTTGTATCACTTTCACTTTAATTTATCTTTCAATTGCCCATATACATTATTGAGAACAAAGGTACGTGAGTACATTGAGGTTATGCACTAACGTTGTCACCACATCTCGATAAATTCCCACTAGGGGTAGTGAATACTTATCCCTAAGGACCATTACATCCCTAAGGACCACTGGATATGTCCCGAAAGACCACTATAAACCCTCGACTCTTGGCATGCCAACTATACCTATAACTCTCATATCATATAACATGGGATTAAACATGAATACATTTCTCATTTCATATCTCTTTCATCACTTTTGATATAAACACATATAATCATTTTCATTATTCCACATATCTGGATTGTTTCTCTTGTAATGACGTTCATTCATATAATATCATATTAAAGCATAATAAATTATTCATGATATCACTATAACAATAATATATGTATGCATGTACATTAGTATAAAATCATGAATTCAACTATAAGAGATAGACTTATCACAAGTCTTGTCTCTATACACTTTAACTATAAAATACACTCACCTTAGCCTTGTTTTGATTCGATTCTAGTCCTTTGATTGTTCCGGAACAAGATTATGTTTTATATCTACATAGTAATACATTGATATATATCATAATACTAATTGATATATTCTAAACTATTACTCCTTAGGCTAAAAAAAAGTTATTTTCATCTTTTAATGAAGGTATGCATCGATGCACTACATGTGCATCGGCACACAAATCCCATTCGATGTTTGAATATTAAGGGGTGAATCGATGCACTACTTGTGCATCGATACACTGATGGCATTCGATGTTTTTATTTTAAAGGAGTGCATCGATATACTTCATGTGCATCGATGCACCTTCAACAATTTCTGGAATTTTATCCTTGGTGCATCGGTACACAATGGATGTGTATCGATGCACTCTACCCAGAATTCACTTCTTGAACCCGAAAACTTATCCATTTTAGCTTAATTACTTCATCTTTCATTCCCTTTTATATTTTAACTCCAATACACATACTTAAACCAATCTATACTCACTTATTTCATCTTAAACTTCAAAATCCTATCCTCCTCATGAAATTCAAGAATTATACCAACTTTGCAACATGATTTAATTCCACTTCTAAAACTTAATATGTCTTAACTAGATTGATGACAAGTCAAATTTAACTTCCAATTCTAGATATGAACTATATTCCAAGATTTCATTCAAGAACTTTTAATCTTTAATCTCTTCTAACTTTATCATCCTTTGATTTTAAGATAACTTAAGCTTTCCTTAAGCTTAATTATCATCTAATAATCAAAACCCAATCTTAAATTTAACAAGAAACTCAATAATCAGAAAACTCACCTTTGTTTTGCTTTACTCGTACAAGGAAGAAATAAGAAGAAAAAAAACTCTGGAAGCCTTTGTGTTCTCCCCTCTTCAACCCACGTGGATTAATATATAACCCTTCATTTCTTATTTCCTTGTAAATGACCTCTTTTCCCTTTCATTCATTATTCCTTTCAATTCAATTCTATACAATAATTTATAAATAAATCTTTATATTATTCAATCATTCTATTTTAATCATCAAATTATAAGACTTTACAATTTAGTCACTAACCCGATATTGAGGATGTTATAAATCTCCCCCTTAAGAAAATTTGTCCTCTAATTTTTATTACGCAAAGAGGTGGGGGTACTTAATCCTCACGTCTCTTCACACTCTCATGTTGCTTCCTTTACTTTGTGATTCCACCATAAGACTTTAACCAATGGAATCATCTTTTTCCTTAGTTGTTTAACCTCATGAGCTAAGATTTTAACCGGTTCCTCTTCATAAGTCAGATCTGGTTGAATATCTATCTCTTCTGGAGTCACAATATGGGAATGATCAGATCGATACTTCTGAAGCATTGAAACATGAAAGACATTGTGAATTTTCTCCATTTTAATGGCAAAGCTAATTGATATGCTACTGGTCCTACTCTCTTAATAATCTCGTAGGGTCCATTGAACCGAGGACTCAATTTTCTTTACGTCTAAACCTCAGAACCTTCTTTCAAAGAGAAACTTTAAGAAACACTTTGTCTCCTACTTGATATTCTATTTCCTTTCTCTTTAAATATGAATACGATTTTTGTCTATCAGTTGTTGTTTTGATGTTACTCTGAATCACTTGAACCTTTTCTTCCATTTCCTGAATCAACTATGGACCAATAACTTCTCTATCATTAAGCTCAAACCAATTCAAGGGCGTATGCCATCTTCTCCCGTATAAAACTTCATATGGAGTCAGTTTGATGCTTGACTGATAACTATTGTTATATGCAAATTCAGCAAGTGACAAATACCTTTCCCACGATCCTTTGAATTCAATTACACAAGCTCTAAGCATATCCTCCAGAATTTGGATAGTTCGCTCGGATTGTCCATCGGTCTAAGGATAAAATGTTGTACTAAAGTTTAATCGAGTTACCAACGCTCCATGTAATGATTTCTAAAAGTGCGATTGAATCTAGGATCCTGATCAGAAATTATAGAAATAGGTATACCATGCAAGCGTATAATTTTTCTAACATATATCTCGGCATACATATCCATGGAGAAATCAGTTCGTACCGGGATAAAAGGGGTTGATTTAGTCAATCTATCTACAATCACCCAGATTGAATCCCTTTTGTTCTGAGTTAAAGGCAACTCAGTCACAAAATCCATTGTTACATTCTCCCATTTCCACTGAGGAATTGATACTCATTATAACAATCCCGATGGAACCTGATACTCAGCTTTGACTTGTTGACAAGTCAAACACTTTGATACAAATACCGTAATGTCTTTCTTCATTCCAGACCACCAATATCGACTCTTGAGGTCCATATACATTTTGTTTCCTCCTGGGTGCATCATTAATGGACTACAATGAGCTTCCGTTAATAAATCATTCTTTAATTCATCATCATTTGGAATCACCAATCTCCCTTGATAATACAAGTTCCCATCCAACTTGATTCATAATTATTTAGCTCTTCATTCTTAAATTGTTGCAATTTATTCAAACACATTTCATCTTTTCTTTGCAATTTCTTAATTCGATCCAGCCATGATGGCTTGAAAGTCAATTCCGCACAAATTGCACCGTCTTCGTCAAATGATATTTTGGCATCCAAAGCTCGTAAGGCTGCAAATGACTTTCTAATTAAGGCATCCGCTACCACATTTGCTTTTCCGGGATGGAAATCAATCACAACATCATAATCCTTGAGAAATTCCACCCATCTTCTCTGTCTTAAATTCAACTCTTTCTGAGTCATCAAGTACTTTAAACTCTTATGATCTGTATACAAGTAGCACTTTTCACCATACAAATAGTGACGCCAAATCTTAAGAGCAAACACTACGGCCGCCATCTCCAGATCGTATGTAGGATAATTCTTTTCGTGTGGTTTTAGTTGCCTCGAAGCATAGGCCACTACTTTTCCCTCTTGCATTAACAAGCATCCTAAACCGCTATGAGACGCATCACTGTACACTACAAAGTTCTTGCCAGACTCAGGTTGGACTAACACTGGAGCTTCTGTCAAAATCTTCTTTAATTTTTCTAAACTCTTTTGGCATTCCTGAGTCCAAGCAAATTTTACTTCTTTTCTCAATAACTTAGTTAGAGGTAAAGTTATTATCGAAATGTTTTTAACAAACCTTCGATAATAACCAGCTAACCCCAAAAAACTTCAAACTTCTGACACATTCTTTGAACTTCCTACTCCAAAATAGCTTTAATCTTTTGAGGATCCACTCGAACTCCTTCTGCAAAAATTATATGTCCAAGGAATGCCACTTCATTCAACCAAAATTCACATTTCGAGAATTTAGCATAAAGACTTTTGTCTCATAAAATTTGAAAAACGATCTTTAAGTGTGAACTATGCTCTTCTTCTGACTTTGAATGCACTAAAATATCATCAATGAACACCACCACGAACTGATCCAAATATGATTGGAATATTCTGTTCATTAAATCCATGAAAGCAGCTGGTGCATTCGTAACTCCAAATGGCATCACGATAAATTCATAGTGACCATACCTCATTCTAAACGCCATCTTTGGAATGCCTTTCTCTTGAATCTTCAATTGATGGTAACCCGAACGCAAATCAATCTTTAAGAAAACTGAAGCTCCCTTTAATTGATCAAATAAATCGTCAATTCGGGGGAGATGATACTTGTTCTTGATGATCACTTTATTGAGTTGTATGTAGTCGATGCAGAGACGCATTGAACCATCTTTCTTCTTAACAAATAGAATTGGAGCTCTCCAAGGTGATACACTTGGTCTAATAAACCCTTTTTCCAGTAGCTCTCATAATTGAATCTTTAATTCTTGCAACTCTTTTGGAGCCATTCTGTATGGTGTCATTGCAATGGGTGCTATTCCCGGTATTATCTCAATATGGATTTCTACCTTTCTGTCCTGAGGTAAACCTGTAAACTCTGCAGGAAAAACATCGAATAACTCTCTCACTATAGGAATTTCTTCAATCTCTTTGTCTTTGGCTCTTACATCTAGCACATTAGCAATGAATCCTTGACATCCTTGTAGCAGTAACTTCTTTGCAGTCATTACTGATATCACATTCGCCAACAGATTCCATCTTTCACTAAATACAACGACTTCTACTCCTTCTGAACTTCTTAATGTTACTCTTTTCAGTCTATAATCGACATTAGCATAATAATGATATAACCAATCCATTCCCAGTATCACTTCAAATTCGTTGAAGGGTAATTCCATCAGGTTATCAGGAAATTCAATTCCCTTGATTCGTATGGGATACCCTCGACTCACCATATTTACCCGAGCACTGTGCACTAACGGATTCATCACTATCACCTCATTGCTAGTAGTTTCTAACTGAATATTCAATTCTCTCATTAACTTACTAGTAATGTATGAATATGTAGACCCCGTATCAATCAATACCATAACATGTTTATCAAACAACAGAAAGGTACTGTTATAATCTCGGATCATCCCGATCATCATTGGTCTTGATATTGTACACTCGAGTAGTGGAATGTATCTCTTGTTGAGCAGAGGACTCTGACTGTTTTCTTCCTCTACCTCTACCCTTTGCCCTGCAGAAAAAGACCTCTCGGCAGTGCAGATTCACCGGCTCCCCTGGGACAATCCGAACAAAATATTCGGTCTCCCCATATCTAAAGCAAGCTCCAGAAATCATCCTACATATCCCTGAATGATTCTTTCCACAACGTGGGCATTGTCTGACTTGACTCTGGTTAGATCTCCCAACTCCATATCCTATAGCTCTAGATCCCACTGACTGAGTTTGTCTACATCTCATCGGATTTGATCCTCTTGCGGAGGATGCCACTGACTCTGATCTAGCTTGAGGTCGAGAACCAGCATCTTTACTCCTTTTTGATGGTGTAGAACTCGAAGAAGCACCCGTTCTTTTGATTGTCTGAGCTCTTGAATTTTCAAATCTCTCATTCTAAGCTCTTTCCAAAGCTTTAGCACGATTGACTACCTCTTGAAACGAGGATAGATTCAATACAATCAACATTTCCTTCAACCGAGGATGTAATCCTTGTACGAACCACTCACAAGCATCTTTCTCTGTATGAACAAGCTCGGCAGCAAAGCGGCTCAACTTATTGAATTCACACTCGTACTCATATACAGTGTGATTCTATTACTTCAAACTCATGAACTCTTGTTTCATCTATCGAACAAATTGATCTCCGATATACTTATGCTTAAATTATTCTAAAAACAATGACCAAGTTACTTGATTACTAGACATCCTCAATGTAACATTGATCCAACAAATTCTTGTTTGCCCTCTTAACAAGGAAATTACTCCATCTAGCTTCTCAGCATCGGAACAATGAGGTCTCTCAAGCATGACTTTCACGTCATTAAGCCAAAAGTCCACAGTAATAGGACATTCCTCAGCTTCCCCTTTAAACTCGGGAGATCCTAAACCCTTCAACTCTTTCGCAACATTCATTTTTGGAGTTGAAGTAGTAGAGGTTTGAAACGCGTCAATACCGCGTCTGACGTTCTAAAGAATACATCTTGATCATTTATAGGCACTCTAGAGGGTATCTGTTCTTCACTCTGCCTGGCCAGTGCAGGTGAATTGCTACTTTCAATAGGTCTATCATCTCCCGCTTCATTTTTAGAACTACCATGTCTTGACATCTATTAAGACACAATAATATCATTATATTATCAGAACATCATACTTACTATTCTATCATATCAGAAGTTTTCACTATTTTGTTGGTATGTATACATTATAAGACACTCTAGACTTCAGTTTATGCCGAGAATCGATTAAACCGTAGCTCTGATACCATTAAATGTAACACCCCTAACCCGTATCCGACCCGAATATGAGTTCGAGGTGTCACATTGACTTTTCAAACTTTGACACTTAAAGAAAAACAGGGAAATTTTAAACTTTCATTAAAACAAATATGTTAATTTACATAAGAGAGACCATGAAATACAAAATCGATCAAAACATTCATAATTAACAACTTATTATGCCAACACTCTAGGCATAACCCAAAATACCTACTTTGTCAATTACTTCTGATCTGATCTTTTAATAGTGATGATGTTCTTGTCACTTCTAGTACTGTTCTTCTTGTTTCTTGGTACCTACGTGTAAATCACTTACACATTAAGTTATAGACTTAGAGAGGCAATAAATGAACATGTAACAATATATTCGTGAATATGTATTCTTACCATTTGATCATGACATTTCAATATGCATGTATTATTTCACTATAACATATACAATCATGTTATGCACATATGAAACTTACCTCTTGTATCACTTTCACTTTAATTTATCTTTCAATTGCCCATGTACATTATTGAGAACAAAGGTACGTGAGTACATTGAGGTTGTGCACTAACGCTGTCACCACAACTCGATAAATTCCCACTAGGGGCAGTGAATATTTATCTCGAAGGACCATTACGTCCCTAAGGACCACTGGATATGTCACGAGGACCACTGGATACGTCCCGAATGACCACTGGATATGTCCCGAAAGACCACTAGATATGTCCCGAAGGGCCACTATAAACCCTCGACTCTTGGCATGCCAACTATACCTATAACTCTCATATCATATAACATGGGCTTAAACATGAATAAATTTCTCATTTCATATCTCCTTCATCACTTTTCATATAAACACATATAATTATTTCCATTATTCCACATACCTGGATTGTTTCTCTTGTAATGGCATTCGTTCATATAATATCATATTAAAGCATAATAAATTATGCATGATATCACTATAACAATAATATATGTATGCATGTACATGAGTATAAAATCATGAATTCAACTATCAGAGATAGACTTATCACAAGTCTTGTCTCTATACACTTTAACTATAAAATACACTCACCTTAGCCTTGTTTTGATTCGATTCTAGTCCTTTGATTATTCTAGAACAAGATTATGTTTTATATCTACATAGTAATACATTGATACATATCAGAATACTAATTGATATATTCTAAACTATTACTCCTTAGGCTAAAAAGGAAGTTATTTTCATCTTTTAATGAAGGTATGCATCGATGCACTCTACAGTGTATCGATGCATCCCTTAATGGGTACATCGATGCACTACCTGTGCATTGGTACACAAATCTCATTCGATGTTTGAATATTAAGGGGTGCATCGATACACTGATGTCATTTGATGTTTTTATTTTAAAGGAGTGCATCGATACACTTCATGTGCATCGATGCCTTCAACAATTTCTGGAATTTTATCCTTGATGCATCGGTACACAATGGATGTGTACCGATGCACTCTACCCAGAATTCACTTCTTGAACCCGAAAACTTATCCATTTTAGCTTAATTCCTTCATCTTTCATTCCCTTTTTATTCTTAACTCCAGTACACATACTTAAACTAATCTATACTCACTTATTTCATCTTAAACTTCAAAATCCTATCTTCCTCATGAAATTCAAGAATTATACCAACTTTGCAACATGATTTAATTCCACTTCTAACACTTAATATGTCTTAACTAGATTGATGAAAGTCAAATTTAACTTCCAATTCTAGATATGAACTATATTCCAAGATTTCATTCAAGAACTTCTAATCTTTAATCTCTTCTAACTTTATCATCCTTTAATTTTATGATAACTTAAGCTTTCCTTAAGCTTAATTATCATCTAATAATCAAAACCCAATTTTAAATTTAACAAGAAACTCAATAATCAGAAAACTCACCTTTATTTTACTTTACTCGTACAAGGAATAAAGAAGAAGAAAAAAAACTCT